TCTTCCTCCTCATGCTCCTCATCATCCTCTTCCTCTTCCCGCGGTGATCAACGGGCTCTGAAAAGAGATGTTTCCGCAGTCGCCAACGGGCGTTTCGCCCAAGACATCCCCACAATCCAGGCACAAACTGGCCCGTGCAGTACCCCTTCGCGGCTCCCCCTTGGGCCGTCCACACGCCGTGCTTGCCACACTGTGGCGAACAGAGGGCTCTGAAAAGCGACGCGGCCACAGCCGCGAACGGGCATTTCGCTCGAGGCACTCCCCACAGTATGGAAGCGAATTGGCCCGTGCAATACCCATTTGCGGCTCCCCTTTGCATAGTCCAAATACTCTGCACTCTACATCACGAGGGTTATGACTATGGCTGGCGCTGTAGATGCGTGCGTCTATGAGGAAGCTCGAGTGCGAGTGGGTGTTTGCATGGGTGAGCTTGAGTGCGATGTGAGCAGAGAGTGTTAGCGGTCTGAGTGTGAGCGGGTCTGATTGAGTACGAGCGGTGGAGAGTGAAAGGTCTGAGTGTGAATGGCCCGTGTGTCTGAGTTCGCCTCTGACTGCTCTGCCAATGAGTTGGTATGAGCGTGAGTGGTCTGAGTATGAGTGAGTCTGTGTATGAGTGCGTTGTGCTGTGACTCAGTCCGAGCGTCAGCGAGCTAGAGTATGAGTGTTTCTGAGCGCGAGTCCGATGATGCATTACCTGCGTGTGAGCGAGGCTGAGTGTGAGAGACTTGACTGAGTGTGGGTGAGTCTGAGTATGCGTGAGAGTGTGGGTGTGGGCGAGCGCCTGGGTGGGTCTGAGCATGAACGGTCTATGGCGAGAGGCGGGAGTGAGGAGTTGAGAAGGCGGAGGTGCGTCACCAGTGACAAGCACCCCGAAATTCGGATCTGAGGAAAAAAGGGGCAGGACTGGAGAAACAAACAACAAGAAAAGCACAGAACCTGAAAAGAAGCAACCGGCCGCAGTCTTGACACAAGTTTGCAGCATTGCGCTCCCAAACAGGGCGGCCGAATTATTGTGGTGCGTTCCTACTGACGTGCGTTTCCTTCCATCTCAAGCTGTGGACGTTTTCAAGCCAGCCCATCACCGAGCGCGACGCGAAGGGAGCAAAAGCATAGTCGACATCCTCTTCCTCCTCCCCCATCCCCGTCCTCATCATCATCCTGCTCATCCTTTTGCTTATCCTCCTCCTCATCATCCTCCTCCTCATCCTCATCCTCCTGCTCATCCTCCTTCTCCTGCTCATAATTATCCTCATCCTCCTCATCCTCCTCATCCTGCTCTTCCTCCTCATCCTGGTCTTCCTCCTCCTCATCATCATCCTCCTGATCCTCCTTCTCCTCCTCCTCCTCCTCCTCCTGATCCTCCTGCTCATCCTCCTCCTTATACTCCTCCCCATCCTCATCCTCCTGCTCATCCTCCTTCTGTTCATCTCCTCATCCTCCTCATCCTGTGCTTCCTCCTCATCCTGCTCTTCCTCCCCCTCATCCTCCTCCTCCTGATCCTCCTTCTCCTCCTCCTGCTGATCCTTCTCCTCATCCTAATCCTGCTGCTGGTGGCCTGCCTGCGGTTGCGTACGGGATGCGGGCGCATGGCACCTCAGAGACTCAATTGGCCGGCCTCGAATCTGCAGCTGCATTTTCCGTATGTGGAGCCCAAGGGGCAGATCACGGACAGAACAATGGTTTGTCCTACGTTGGCACGCCGCCGCGACCAAGAACGGCGTGTCCTCCGTTGGCGCGCTGGTTGCCGACGCTTCGCGCAGCGCCGGCTGCGACATTCGTTTCCATGTTTTGCCCTGCCGAGCTTCATACTTTGCCTTGCCGAGCGGGCCCTCTTGAAATGCCATGGGCGAGAAAAAACAGGGGTGGGGGGGGAGGGGGGGGGCAGATTACGGACAGCCGAGTCCATGCCACCCGACAGCCCCAAGAGCGACCCCGACGTGCGACGCCAAGGCCTCACCGCTCGCGGCGCGGCGCAAGGCGGTGCGAAGCAGTGGGCGACGGCGGAGCAGATGCAGCCGGCGTTCTGGTAGGCGTCGAGCGAGGGGGGCAGCCGGGCAGCGGGGGCACAGTCATCGGAGCAGCTGGGGCGGCACAGGCCACCTTTCAAGCAGTGGCGAAGCGTCCTGACTCGCCTATAGCCCTACCAAACAATGTTCTAAGAACTGGTTGCGGTTTCTACAAAATTTTCTTAGAACATTTCTGGCGGAGTCTGTCTTGTTTAAGCACATCGGGTTTCTGTTCTAAGAACATTGCTTATGTGATTGCAACATTTGTGGGTCCTAAGAAAATCTAGTGGTAGGATTATAGAAATGCCGGGACGATCGGTCCCTGCTCAAACCTTGCAGAGGACAGGGGGTGGCAGGCGAGCGGGGGGGCGGGGGGAACGGCGCACGAGGCGTTATTCATCGGCATGCAGGTGATGGGTCTTTCTGCCGCTCGGGAAGTTGGCCGATGCAGGAGCCGAGGCAGAGCGAGGGAGAATGCAGCACAACCCAAGGAGTTGTCGGAGGGGCCCCTCTTTGACGCCTGCGGTGGAGACGGCACGGAAGCTCAAGAGGCAGGAAGGTCATCTGGGAGCGGACGTATCAGGTCATGGATGGCCGGAGGTCTTTGGACGCAAAAACAATCATTTCATCATGGTGATGTTGTTTCTCTTATATGTGTGGCCTGCTGACACGAGGACGGAACGCAGTCGCATCGTATATATATATATATATATATATATCGGTGCTTGTTGCACGCGACGGGGCGCCAGGACCGGTGTGGAGACCAGCGCTGCTGGCTCGCCCAAGGAAGGGTTGAAAAAGGATCCAGGCATCCCATGACTTACGTCACCTGCCGCAGGCTTTTCCCTGACCCAGCGCATGATCCTCGGCAGAGTTTCCCACCTCCGCATCAGTACGACCGAGTGGTTTGGGAAAAGAGCTCATCAAGAGGGTATGTCCAAGGAGTTGCGTGCACCGACGGTTCAGAAGTTAACCGACAACTTCTGCTGCTGGCTCGTGCATGTTGGTCTTGCTGTATGGTGGCCAATCTCGGGAACTTGCAGGGTGTGGGTCTGGAGAACTCTGGGCCGCCACTCCTGTTTTGAACTCCAAAGGACTAAGGTACACCACGACTGCCACTGAGTACCTCGAGCTTCCCAAGGTCTTGAAGAATGTTGCCCCTTGGGGCGCTGGCACCGACAATATCCCGGGAGAACTGTGGAGGGAGTTCTGAAGGCGTGCGGATAAAATCGGCCACGATGACGTCAGCGTGCAGTGGATGCCCAGCCACAAGAGTGACAAGCAGAGGGTGGTGATTGGAGTACCTCTTGCGTGGTGGGAAGGAATCGTAAAGCCGACCATCGTGCCCGATTCGGAGGCAGGATGCATCCCAGGAGCTCTCTTTCCAAGTCCGTCGGGGAGAATGCGCGAGCTCTCTGCTACGCGTACGCTTCGAGTGGTCTCGCGAATGCTTAGGAGCTGCTCCGAAGCCGCATGGCCAGACTCCAACTCCGTCCCTGTTCCAGAGGCTTCCGTGAGGCGTAGGCAAGGAACCTGATGTTCGAGGGCATTGCCTTGGGAAAGGGGGGCAAGGTGGTTTTGTGATGTCACTGGTAGGAACAAGCACAGTCGCGAGGGGGTCCTCGTCCAGCCCCCTGGGGAAGGGGGGCTCCTTCTCGAAGATTGCTCCCCTCACAAATTCACGATGCGTGGGTCACGCGAGACCTCGTGTGGCGTTCCATCTGCGCCGCAAGATGCGAGCTCCGAGTGCAGAATACAGCCGAGCAGTGCGTTGGGAGGCGCGACTCCAGGATGTTCCAGGTACCATAAGCGTAGGTAAATGTTGCGGGAGAGTAGGCCCAACGAAGATGTGATAGCGGACCTGTTTCATCGTCTTTTCTTTCTCTGCAAGACGAAGCAAACCTAGTTGGCGCCCCGATTCATATGTATTATGTCGGTTTCCCGCCCCGACCGTCGGATGTCGTTCTCGTCACTCCACAGGTTGGGAATATCGTCGTCCAGATCATGTTTTTCCTCGTCGCTACCCTTTCCTCATCCTATATAACCCGCCTATCTCGTGAAGCGCGCGAGACCACCGTTGAAGCGCCCCACCCCCATGCATCAGGAACCAGTTTGGCTACCTCAGCAAATTCCCGTCCAAAGAAATTGAGGTGCGTGGAAAACGTGGTCGACTGCGCGGGCATTCGCGCGTAAGTTGCCCGCGTAAGGTCGCGCGTACGGGCTCTCGATTCCAATGTGGCTGGCCGCGTTGGCGGCCCGCGTACGCGTAAGCCACTGCGTGAGGTCGCTATGCCATCTCACTCATCTGGTCCTGCACCACAGCAAGTACAAGTCCTACAACGTAGCTCCAAGGGTGGCCCACGAATGGCGGAAGCTTAGAACAAGCCCTTTTCCGTTCACGTAGCCCCACAACCCAACGATGTGTGACGCAGCGGCGCAATCACCTTGGCGTAGGCCACCGTCAGTGCGGACGCCGACGTCTCTATCCCCCACGTCCGAGGTCGTCGCGAAGCCCGTGCGAGACGATATGCCCAGCTAAGATGGGCCGCGCCGTCTGCGGCCTTGCTGTGGCGGCCCCGCCACTGCACTGCATCCTCCGGAGGTTGCCGTGGGCGCCACCCGTGCGAAAGATCCGCGATGTTGTTGAGTACCTTTGTGCAGAGGGCTTCGTTGATGATGCTGTTCAGAGTCGCATGGCCAGTGACCATTTGACGCGAGATCTGCGGCTATACAGGCGCAGAGGGGGCCAGTTCGCGAAGACATTCCAAGAGGTTTTGGGGTTGCAGCGATCGTGTGCTCATCAGGTTCCTGGCGTCGAAAAGCGAGCGCGTTTTTTTTTCGGCGCCTTGTACTGTGCGCCCGTGGGTCGGCTGTCCAGTCGGGGTCCATTCACGCCACGTTGTTGGAAGATGGCAGCATGCGCAAGTCGTTGCTATGACGCATTATATGCGTTGTCGCCGTTGGTGCGAAGTCATGGTGTCCAGATGTTCACGCAGGAGAGTTCCGACATGAAGCGGCGTAAGTGACAGTCTTGTCGTCCTATGTCACCCTCCCTCCCCGTCTCGGTCTTCTTCTTCGTACAAGTTTTAAAAAGTCGGATGTGTTAATATGTATATATATATATATATATCACAAAAAACATAGGAACTTGCATGAAAATGTATATGTCGAATGCCATGCACACCTCAATGTATTCATATGCACAAGCGTGAGAAGATTCGGCGTTGCTGCTTTGATATGAAAGCACAGCAACTAATCAGATGCCTTGCATAAGACTTCGTACAAAATAATGACATCTACACATAGTTGCGCATTAAAAGCAAAACACCCTGCTGCTTTCTCCGAGTCAGACCTTCTGCGCGCTTGCAGGGCCTGGCCCAGGGCTGACCCGAGAGACAATAACGCGCGGACCTCCGAAAGCGTATGTTCTATACATGTGTCCATGTCTGACCCCCCCGACGCTGTCTGACCCCCCCCCGACGCTAAAGAGTTTTGCCGAAAAATTGCCCGCAACCCATCCGCTTCCAACCCGCGGTCTGCCTCCAGCGGCCGCCCTTCACCGAGTGATCTGGACAGTGGCCGCGCGGCGATGCGCGTCTTGTGCTCGTGATTTCGGCAACCAGGAAGCTAGAGGTAATTGCGCAACCGAGTGTTTTGTCCATGTTGTGCTTCCATGTCCTCCACCTCCACCTCATGTTCCTCCCTTTTCCCGAGAATAGCTAGCCTCCCCTCGCCTCCCAAAGGAAACAGCATTGCAACAACGAGGAACTTCGTGGGCAATACCACATATGTGATAAAGGAGGAATAACATAACATTAAGGTTGTGGCGTCCGTTTAGGAGTGCGCCGAGGAGGCTTCGGACCCTAGAGCATTCATTACCTAGTGAGGGTGGCAGAGATATCTATATGGGCAATCCACGATTAAAGTTCCACCGGCTTCCAGACGTTGGATTCCTTATCCCTTATCCAACGGTTCTCTATCGAACGCCCTCACCACAGTCCGTGGCAATTGTGGCTCAAGCGACCGCACGGCTCGGCGCCCCCTCCGCGGCGCGCACGAGCCTAGAGGGGCTCTCATGGCGGACGCTGCCGCTGTTGTCGAGGCGGCATTGCGGGGCGCCGCGAACGCCACGGCTCCGAGGCGCACGGTGGCTGCCGTGGCCCGCTCGGCCGTCAGCGCCGCGCTCTTCGCGCTGCGCGGGCGGCCAGCGGGCGCCTGCAGCGGCTGTTGCACCCCCTGGTGCCGATCATGATGGTGCTGGTCATGTTGCCGCCTCGGCGGCCAAGCTGGAGCGGCGCCGACGCCGCCGCCAGCGCCTTGCTGGGCGGCGTGCCCTGGAGCGGGGAGAAGTGGCGGCGATGACGGGCGTGGTGGAGAGCGAGGCTGACGCGCCGTTGGCGCTCGTCGGCTCCGCGGTGGCCGCCATGAGCGTCAGCGACGACAGCCCCCCCGACGACTCCTGGGCTGATGCTTGTAGTGCTGCGGCCCCTGCGGAGCCGTCGGCGGCCGCTGCTGGTGCGGCGGCGGCGGATGGCGGAGCAGAGGCCGCGAAGGAGCCGGTCGTGGTGACCCCGGCGGAGCCCGCCTCTGCACTTTCTGCTTCGGCGGCATCGGTTGCGGCGGCTGGCGGAGCTGTGGCTGCCGCGTGGCTCGGGGAGCGCAGCGAACCGCGGACCTCGGTGGAGGCCATCCGCGCGTCCATCCAGCTGTCGGACGCGTGCCGTGCCCAGGGCGTGTCCAAGGAGGCCGTCCAGAAGTTGGCCGTCCGCCTGGGTTCCCCCACTGGGGCCTGGAGCCGCCGCTGGGACCTCAGCGGGCGGGCGGCGCGGGGCAGGCGGCCCGCGGGTTCGTGACGCCCCATCTCGGCGTCTGAGCGGGCGCGGCCTCTCTGCGGGGTCGTCCGCGCTCCCGTCTTGGATTCTATTCACGGGCGCGTGCCGCGCCCTCGAAAAGAGGAAAAAAATAATACTAATAATAATACGACTACTACTTCTAATACTAATAATAATAATAAGAATAATAGTAATAGTAATAGTAATAGTAATAGTAATAGTAATAGTAATAGTAATAGTAATAGTAACAGCAATAGTAATATTAATAGCAATAGTAGTACTAATAGCAATAGTAATAGTAATAGTAATAGTAATAGTAATAGTAATAGTAATAGTAATAGTAATAGTAATAGTAATAGTAATAGTAATAGTAATAGTAATAGTAATAGTAATAGTAATAGTAATAATAATAGTAATAGTAATAGTAATAGTAATAGTAATAGTAATAGTAATAATAATCACAATAATAATAATAATAATAATAATAAGAAGAAGAAGAAGAAGAAGAAGAGGGAAACCACAACAACAACAACAAAAAGGCCCTCACCATACAACAGAAGCAGCACGGCCTCTGACCTCTCACCGCCCCTACCCGCTGCCCCGATCCCAAACCACCCCGCCCTGGCAAGGTCGGCAGCTGCATCGTGGCGGACGCGCAGCAG